CCACATATCCAACATACGAGCAAAGCAAGCTGAGCTCAATGGTTTAAAATAAAAAGACACAAATTTGGGTGGGTAGAGAAGGGAGTGAGTGTGGGAGGAGTCAGGGGAGAGGAGTGACTGCATAAAACACATTGTGTGGAATTCTCAGAGAACTAATAAAAAACAAGAGGGAAAAATTCAGTGCAAAGAAAATGAATGAAATGAGAAAAGGGGTCCTCCGCCCTGGCCATTAAATTTTGGGAATGGGGTAGGGCCTTTAAGTAAACAAAAATCTTTAAAGATGAGGAGATTACAAAATAGCATTGCAAAGGTCGCATTCCCGGGGATCATTCTTGCAATAGAAAGCATTTAAGTTCCTTGTAATTATTACCCTCACTTGGGCACCCTGCTCTTAAGACATGGGTGACCTGGGCAGTGGAATGACATGGATTCGTAGGTCCTGTAGGTGGGTTAGCCTGGACTCTCAGGGCCTATGAGATGGTATGACCTGATCCCATGCTCTCAGGTCCTGTAGGTGGGTTAGCCTGGACTCTCAGGGCCTATGAGATGGTATGACCTGGTCCCATGCTCTCAGGTCCTGTAGGTGGGTTAGCCTGGGCGCTCAGATCCGATGAGATGGTATGACCTGGTCCCATGTTTTGTGAAGTAGATCCTGATAGGTGGATGACATGGATACTCCTGGATATGCAGGGGTCCAGCCTTCTCCTTCTGCTTTCCCCTTCCCCCGTCTCTGGGTCTGTCATCCAGGGAAATGACTATGACCTAGAAATGTAGCCCACGAGAAAGTCATTCTTGCATTTATTTTCCTAGAGTTACATGCTGAAGCTGTACTAATACCAGGGCCACAATACCAGCTCCCCCATGCTGTGCCACCACTCACTGTCCCTAGCCTCAACCCTAGGTGACAGGATGTACAGCTGGGCCTTGATCTTGTGGGGAGGACTGTGAAAAGAGGGTAAGTGGTATAGGGAACCAAATCTGTGTGTTGAGGCTTCAGAAACAGGGTGGTGAGTGTCCTCTGCATGGCTGAGGTCTCTGTGTGCCCTACTGCTCCCGGAGCGCCACTAGACCTGTATTAAACTCAGGTGCTTTGAGATGTTTGCATCTTGATGTGAATTCTCACAGCTTTTACCTGTAGCACACCACGCCCGTCTGTGCTCTATGCACTACCATACAGTTAGTGAACCGGGCAAGGGGCTGGAGATTGAAACACACAAAGACTCACAGACAGACACAGGTCATCCTTGATGCCAGAATGCCCCCTTCTATTGTGTCCAGGGGCAGCTTATATAGGGATCCTTAATTGATAGCCACGCTCCAGCCAAACCCACCAGAAACCACTCCCCTGCCATCAGGAACTCCTGAGGGTCTCGTGCTCAGAGCAGCTGCAAGCATAACACATTGTTTACAAGAAATTCAGAATCTGGGGGTTCACAGATCCCAACATTTACCCCCCTTGATGGTTCAAAAGAAACTGTTTCCTCTGAACATGGTGGCTTATGCCTGTAATCCCAACTCTGAGGACGCTGAGGCAGGAAGATGCTGAGTTTGAAGTCAGTCTGGACAATAACAAGACACTGCCTCAAAAAAAAAAAAAAAGATACTGCGTTATCGTCTTTCTTCTGCACTTAGCTTGTCCTCGTACCCCTGCTCTGTTCTGAGGTCCCACTAATCCCACCCCCAATTCCAAGGCATGAGGCACCCCATTATGCTCTCAGCAGACACCTCCCTGTGGGAGATGGGGGAAGATGGGGGCTCTTGGCCACAGCTGCAGCAACTAGAGCCCTTCCTAGACTGAGAACCCACAATGAGTGCTGATCGCTCCTAGGCTCCTCTGGGTCGTGAGGTGACATTAATCTTGCTGGGTTGGAAGCTGACCTCAAACTCAGAGAGCCACCGACCTTCGGTCTAAAGGCATGCACCACCACTACTTGGACTTGGTGGGTTTTCAATGTGAAGCCATTAAGTTAAGCCAAGGAAAAGCTAAGCAAGGACCCAAAGTGGCTTACCTACAGCTATCTGTCATTATCCTTAGATATAGGGTACATCTTAATGTTCTTGTCTGATAGTTCCAACATCCTTGTCAGTTATGAGTCAGTTTCAACTGACTAGGGTTTTGGTTTGGGTTTTTTTCCATCATGTGTCTGGTATTTGGGAGGAGAGAATTTTTTTCCCCATACAAGGTCTATGTGGCTTAGACTAGCCTCTAACCTCCCATATATCCAAAGATGACCTTGAATTTCTGACCCCCCTGCCTTCTCATCTGAGTAATTACAAGTGTGCAACACCACACAGAGTTTAGTGCGCTGGCAACTGAACCCAGGGCATGCATACTATGTAAGCCCTCTACTGATTGTGCTACGTCCCCAGTCCTGCCTGGCGTTTTTTGATTAGATGCTAGGAATTATTGTTTTTGCCTTGCTGGGTGCTAGATATTTTAGAGTTTTCTTTAAGGATAAAACTAAATTGTAAACAGTTTGCCCTTCCTGTTAAGACTTGTTAAGTGGGAGGGCAGAAGTGGGCCAGTAGAAGGTGAGTGACCTCCCTGAGGTGAGACCCTCCCGAGTACTGGGCCTGACTTCTTGCAGCTCTGCAGTTTCCCGCTGGACATGGTCATAGGAACAAATGCTCCCTCTGGTCCTCTGAGGGGCTGTTCTCGGTCCAGGTTTCTAGATTTCCTCCCACATGTACTTGACAGTCCTGGGGGCATCTCTGCAGGTCTCTGGGTCTTTTTCTGTGAAGTTCTCTTCTCTGTAGGGCTTTGTCCTGTCAGCCCCATCAGCCTTCTTAGTCAACTATGGGGGACATCTTCTCACCTCTGAGAGCCCACTGGGCTCTCCTTCCTGCTCCGTGGCTCACAATGATCCTTAGGCAGTCAACAAGCGATCTCACCGGACTGGTTCCCATGTCTCAAGGCTAGTGGGGCTCTGCTGTCTGACGTGTGTTATCTTGTGAACTCGCCTTTTTATGGTATATAGTAGCATACAGCACACCATTTTGTTTTTATTGTTTTTTTGTTTGTTTTTTTAGACAGGATTTCTCCTCGTAGCCTGGCTGTCCTAGAACTAGCTCTGTAGACCAGGCTGGCCTTGAACTCACAGAGACCCACCTGCTTCTGCCTCCAATTAAAGCCACGTGTTAGGATTAAAGCCACGTCACGAACCCCTGGCTTCAGCACACCAATTGTAATGGGCATTTTCTTCTCCATTTGGTGTTGGCTCCACTAAAAATAAATCTGGTTTCTAAGCTGGACATGACAGTCTACAGCCAGCATCCCAGGCCTTGGGAGATAGAAGCAGTAGGAGTCAAGGGTTAAAGGTTAGTCTAGTCTCGGCCACTTAGCAGGTTTGGCTCCAGCCTGAACTACATGAGACCCTATCTTAAAAACAAAGATGAGGTGGGGAGATGGCTCAATTGGTAAGATGCTTGCTGTACTATACGAGAATCTGAGTTCGGGTCCACAGCACCCACATAAAAGCTGGGCGCGGCAGCTAGTTCCTATAATCCCAGTTTTGGGTAGACAAAGAAGAATCCCTGGGTTTGTTGGCTAGCCAGTCTAAACAAACTGAGCTTCAGGGTTAGTGAGAGGCCATGTCTAAATAAGATGGACAGTGACTAAGCAGGACACTCAGTGTTGACTTCTGGCACGCACACAAACACAAACACGTCTTGACCAGAAGCAGGGAAGAGACAGCCTCTACTCTGCCGGAATCGCAGCCTCTGACCACGCTGAGACTGAACTCGATACTCACGTTCCTTACAGAGCTTTTTATTGCTGTGTCATGTGTGACTTCTGGAAACTAGCAGTTTATCTCCCGTGCTATGTCAAGAATGCAGCGAAACATGTATTTTCTGTTTGGAAGTCTAATGTTTCTGTCCAGCGAGCCCGCAAAGAATGAAACGTGAATTCTAGTTACTGTTTAACTTGCTACCGTCTTGGAGCATGCTCAACAAACTTCTTTCTGGTGGAATTTGACAGGTAAACTCACTTACAGTCCAGCTACTATAGACGTTTGGACACCTAACAGGCACTGGCCTTGAGGCACTGTTACATAGTAACCTGAGTAATAAAGCTATTTCCTTTAAAGAAAAAAAATGTGACGCTAGCCAATGAAAACTGTCTTCCTGAAGTGACTTTGGAGTCGCTGACAGAAAAACCCACTCCAAGATAGTTTAGCCACAGGAAGGTAAGAGCTCAGGAGCCTATGTGGGTGGGAGGAGCTGTGTCCAGTGGCCGATTGGTTCCCAGAGAAAGGGGGACACTACTGACTCCTTGTGAGAGTCTAGAGGCAAGGCAGTCAAGTGTAGCTCCAGGACAAGGACAGACATCTCTCTCTCTCTCTCTCTCTCTCTCTGTGCGCACAAGAGTGTGTGAGGCTGCACCCATGGTTCTAACTTTGCTCTCCAGGGAAAAAGGACGTGAGGAAAGAAGCTGTGGGCCAGGGAATATCTGAGAGTGAGTGTGGGGGAGCCAGCAAGAGCATCGAGCTACCGAGTGTCCAGGGTAGGAACAGTGTGAGCATGTTGGCTGTGTGTGTCCGGTGGGGCCACTGTCAGAATGTGTTATAGAGTGTGGCTAGGAGAGTGTGGGTGTGTGTGAGTGACCGCATGAATAGCAGAGCTACTGTGTGTGAGTGTTTAAGATCACTACTGTGTGTGCGTGGGGGACTCTACAGTGAGTTATTAGGAGTGTATCTGGTGACAGTGTGGGCTAGGGAGAACGCACCCAGCTCTCCTAAACCTGGGCGTGGCCCGTGCATTCCAGTTCATCCCTGACTACAGGGCACTGCTCAGCTATGGGCACTGACCCTTCTTAGGTCACTTGTATGGTTTAGAAGCTGACAGTGAGCCTTGCTGTGCCTCCATCCACCCCGAGGAAGCCTGTGTTCTGCTTTGGGTTTGGTATGATGGGTGGGGGCCTAAGATGTCTTTCTCCAGCTCCTTCCTTTAGAACTTGGCTTTGACCCTTCCAAACACCATTCTCTTTTGTGTTTTTCCAGTATTGTCTAAACATCTCCACTTCCAATGGTCTGGGGAAGAAATTTTCTATAGACTCTGCCAGCCTCTGTTGGGCAGTCCCACAGCCCAGGAGGAAGCAGGCGCCTGCCAGTCAATCTCTGACTGCCTCTTTGGGCAACAGCATCGGGTAACAGGTAAGAGACTGTTGTCTGCAGCCCCCTTGTTCCTCTGAAGCTGTACTTAGCCTCAAGAAGATGATTTCAGGGACGGTCTCTCTCCCTCTAGTTGAGTCTCACCTTTGACCCTCCTAGAGCTGTTGACCAATTCCGTGAGCTCTGAGAATTGACACTTGACTTTGTCTCCTGTCCGGTGTACAAGTGTCACATGAACTGCCTGTAGTGCCCAGGTCATTGGCTTCGTCTCCTGAGAATGCCAGGGTTTAAAAAGCTGTGTGGACACAGCAGTGTGTTGTGAATGGAAGCTGCCACCCTACTGCTGGCTGCGTCACACACTGTTCCACAGGATAACTTCTGTGTGGGTGGGGGTGGGATATCCTCATCTATGTATACGAGAGAGAGACAGAGCCAGAGAGACAGAGAGAGAGACACACAGAGAGACACAGAGAGAGAGAGAGAAGGGGCCAAAGGTCATATCAGCATCTGTCTTTTATGTTTTATTGTTGTTATTGTTTTTATGTTTTCCAAGACAGGGTTTCTCTGAGTAACAATCCTGGGTGTCCTGGAACTCGCTTTGTAGACCAGGACGGCATTGAACTGGCTGAGATCCGCCTGCCTCTGCCTCCCAAGTGCTGGGATTAAAGACGTGCACCACCACTGCCCAAATTCCCTCTTATTTTTTTGAGGCAGGATTACTCACTAGAACTCATTCCTTTGGCCGGCCGTTGAGTTCCGAGGATCCAGCTGTCTCCACAGCCCTCACCCCCAGCGCAGGGATTGCATGCACAGTCACGCACAGTCACGCACCACCACACCCGTCTTTTAAAGCCTCTGAACTGGGGTCATCGTGCTTGCCCGGCAGCAAGCTCTTTACCCACGGACTCCCCAGGACAGGATTACTTTTTTATGTCGATAAAAACCTTACTCTTCAGATAAAACATGCTCTCTTTGCCATTCTCTCGAAGACTGGCTGGATAGAACCCACCGGAGGCCAGTGCGGTTTTGTGAAGTGATATTTCCCACACAGCCCCAGCCTGCCCTGTCTGACTGAGGCTGGCTCTCTGAGGGTTGCTTTCAGTGACCATACCGAGCCTGCGTCTTTCTCTCTAACAGGAAGTCCCTGGTCATCCTCTGAGCAGAGCCCAGCAAGTTTGGCTGTGAAGATGGAACTGGGTGGGAGCTCCTCAACTCCTCAAGAAGCCGTTGCCCCTCTTGGGGTACTAGGTGCTGGGCCCAAAAGCTCCCCACTGGGGAAGCTTAAAGTACTTCCCATTGGGCCAGGTGCCCACCAAGGGGCTCCTGGCAGCCCAGCTTCAGCAGGGGACAGCTACTTGGGGGAGCCAAGTGGTGCCATGAAGATCCCCAACAGGGACAGTGGGATTGACAGTCCATCCTCCAGCGTGGCCAGTGAGAACTTCCCCTGTGAAGAGGGTAGTGAGGGCTCCCCAGGCCCAGCCATATTGAGGCTACACCCTGAGACAGCTGTGGACAGCCAAGTCCCACAAGATACCACCGCGCAGGAGGAGAAAGATAGTGGCGTGGGTGAGGACCCTGACCCTAAGATCACCCCTTCCAGGCCAGAGGAGAATGTCGGCTTGACTCAGGTAAGCTTCCCTTCCTTTACACCCAACACAGGGTGCCTGGGCAGTGACAGAGATTTGTAGTGTGTAACACCCACACCTGTGCTCAGGAAATGTACCCACACACTCGCTCCATGCAAGGAGAATGCCTCTGATGGTGAGGCCCCAGATACCCTGGGTGTGCTCATCCATGACACTTGAATGTGGTTTCTTTTAATTGATGTGGTGTGTGTGTGTGTGTGTGTGTGTGTGTGTGTGTGTGTGTGTGTGTGAAAGAGAGAGAGAGAGAGAGAGAGAGAGAGAGAGATGTTTCATAGATAGTTATTATTAATTCTCCTTTAAAAATTTGGTAGAATTTGTCAGTAAAGCCGCCTGTGCCTTACCCTTTGTTGGGAAGTGGGGAATTTTTGATTCAAGGTCCTTATTCATTGCTTTCTCCAGATATTTTTATTTCTTCATGATTCAGTAATCTTTATAGCCAAGTATTTCTGAGGATTCATTTTTTTTTCTAGGCTATACAACCCGTTAGCACATACTTACTCATTTTCTTATAAACTGTATCTTCACCTCACCAGCTGTAACAATCCCACCCTTCTTTCACTGACTGGTGACTGAGTCGTCTCTCTGTTCTCTAAGGTAACCTAGATAAAGTTTGTGAGCTTTCTTGAGCCTTTAAGAAGACCAACTTTAGCTTGGTTACTCTTTTGAGATTGTTTTTTTTCCATTCTTTGTCTTTTATCTCCGTTCTGATCTTTCTTACTTCCTTCCTTCTTCTAGCCTAGCCTTGGGCTTAGCCTACTCTGCTCTTCTAGTTTCTCAATATGTGCAGTTAGCTTGTTTGTGAATATATATAATTTTTCCATGCTTGGAATGGAACGGGGGACCTTGTACATGGCAGATAAGTGCTGTGTCGCTGAGCTACATTCTCGCACGTCTTTCTTTCTTTGTCTTTTGAGTGTCTGTATTCACCCGTGGGGAGCATACTCATGGATGCAGGCACGTGCACACCTGTGTGGGAATGCATGCAGAGGCCCTGAGCTGATGTTGGGTGTCTTCCTAGACCACGCTCCACTGTATTTATTGAGGCAGGAGCTCTCCTTGAGCCTACAGTTCTCCCATTTGGCTAGTGTAGCTAACCAGCCTGTCCTGGGATTCCCTGACCCTGCCTCCTGAATGCATCAGTGTTACTTAATATGCCTGTATCTGTGGATTTGCCCCTTTTTCTGACTTTATTCCATTGTGACTGAAGATGATATTTTGAATAATTTCAGCTTCCTTGAATGTGTTAAGCCCTGTCTTACGCAGCACATGGTCTATCATAGGTTACACTGATGTCTGTCAGATGAACCATTATGTGTTGTCCAAGACTCGGTTTGCTTGCTGATCGTCTGTTTAGATGTTCCATCATTACAGAAAACTGGGTATTGAGGCTTCTGGCTATTAATTTGTTGCTGGTTAGTTCTCCATCTAATGTAGTTCAATTTACTTCATATATTTTTATATCGTCTTGGTGACTTTTTTATCATTTTGTTGTGTTTTTATAGTTATTTTTAATTTTTAAAAACATGGCTATTTAGTGTGTGGAGGGGTGTGGCAGTCAGAGGGATGGGAATGGAATGGAGTCTTTTCTTTCCAACAATGTAGGTCCCAGGGACTGAACTCAGGTCAGCAGGTTTAGTGGCAAACACCTAATTCTGTTTGCTATACATAAGGCCACTCTCTCTCTTTTTTTTCTTTTTTGCAGGAGAGTTGCTATTTGCATATGATATCTTCTCCCATCTTCCCCCACTTTCATCCTGTATGTTCTTACATGCAAATATGCAAAATGAGTCTCTTGTGAATAGCATATGTAGGTGGATTTTTTTTTCTGTCTCTCCAGTCCCTTCCCAAATCACGACACAGAGACTTATTATTAATTATGAAAGCTTGGTCAAGAGTTTAGGCTTGTTTCTAACCAGCTCTTTTATAACTTAAATTAACCCATTTCACCTTTATTTTGTCCTGCCCATGCTGCTTCCCTGTTTCCTCCATCTTTGGTTGGCGACTCTCCGTATCTCCACCCTTCTTCTTCCCAGTGTCCTCTCTGCTCCGAAAATCCTGCCTAGCTATTGGACGCTCAGCTTTTTATTAAACCGATCTGAGAGACAAATCTTTTTTTTTTAAATTTATTTATTTATTTATTATGTATACAATATTCTGCCTGTGTGTATGCCTGCAGGCCAGAAGAGGGCACCAGACCCCATTACAGATGGTTATGAGCCACCATGTGGTTGCTGGGAATTGAACTCAGGACCTCTGGAAGAGCAGGCAATGCTCTTAACCTCTGAGCCATCTCTCCAGCCCCCTGAGAGATAAATCTTTACAGTGTACAAAAAGCCTGTTCCACAACAACACATTCAAGATAGAGGGCGTGTAATAGTGCACACCAGCAATCCTAGAATTAGAACCCTAAATTCACCCTCCGCTATGCGGGGAGTTTGAGTCCTGTCTGAGTTACAGGAGACCCTGCCCCCAACCAAACAAACTAAACCATAATTAATTGTTTGCTTGATTCCTGGTACCCCAGGACCAACCCGCCTGCCTGGTGTCATATTTCCAGTTCTCTCGGGATTACAGGCGTTCATTAGATCTATGTATTTTTTTTTCTGAAGAGTTTAACACGATTACGTGTAACATCAGTACTGATGGGGAAGGACATGAAGGCCACTCCTAAGGTAGCACCCTTGTCACTTGTCTGCACCTTGTCACTTTCTTGCTCTCCTTTCCTCTCTTACCCTTTTTCTTTGTGTTTATTTCATTGGTGACATACTTTGAATCCCTCCATTTTCCTTTTGTGCATGTCCGTAGATGTTTTACTTCTAGCTACCATGGTTGTTAGTCAAACATTTTAAATTTCCAGTCTTTTCATCCTTCCTGATGTCACAGTTTCACCCGTATAACATTTCTCTGATTACTGTTTCTGGGGTGTGTGATCCAGGATGACCCCAGACTAATAATTCTCCTGCTAGGCTCCTAAATGACAGGATTACTGGCTTGTGCCACCACATCCACACCCAGTTTACATGGTGCTGGAACTGAATTCAGAGATTCCTGTGCACTAAGAAAGGGCTCTACCAACAGAGCTAGATCTGCAGCCCTATCCTGTCATCTCTACTTGAAAGACTGTTCTTGCCATTCTTTTTCTCCCCAAAGATGTACTTTTTATTTATTTACTATTAGTATATGTCTTAGTTAGGGTTTCTTTCTTTTTCTTCCTTCCTTCCTTTCCGTTTTTTAAAACAGAGTTTCTATGTGTAACATCTCTGGCGGTCCTGGAACTTACTTTGTAGACCAGGCTGGCCTTGAACTCACTGTGATCTGCCTTTCTCTGCCTCCCAAGTGCTGCTGGGATTAAAGGCATGTGCCACCGTCACCTGGCTTAGTTAGGATTTCTATTGCTGTGAAAAGACACTGTGACTGTGGCAACACTTATTAAAAAAAAAACATTTAATTGGGGCTGGCTTACAGTTTCAGAGGCTTAGTCTGTTGCTGTTATGACTGGAAGCATGGAAGTATGCAGGCAGACATGGTGCTAGAGAAGGAGCTGCGAGTTTTCCATCCTGACCCATAGGCAGGCAGCAGGAGACTGTACCACACTGGGTATAGCTTGAGCATCTGAGACCTCAAAGCCCGCCCCCACAGTGACACACTTCCTCTAACAAGCCCACACCTCCTAATAGTGTCACCCCCTATGGGCCAAGCACTCAAACACATGAGTCTATGGGAGCCATTCCTATTCAAACCTCCACAGTATGTGTGAGTCTGTTGTGTGTGTATGTTGGGGGTGGGGGGCTGCGTATCCCTGTACTTACCTGGATCATACTCCTGCCTTAGCTTCATGAGTGCCAGGATTATAAGCATGAATTAGGTGGCTGTTTATTAGTCTAGTTGGAGTTCTTTGAACTTCTGGATTTGTGTATTCATTTATTTCCTAAGACTGGGAAGTCTCCCATTATCATTTCAGCAAATGATTTCTGTCTCTTATCCCTTGTGACTCCCATATGGAGATCTTAGTCTACCAGAAGACGGATGTCCTGAAAGCCCTTTAGAATCCCTATGCTTGTCTCTCTTCTTTCTTGGTTTTCTCCACTGATTTTAAGTGACTTCTATGGGAACTGGAGAGATGGCTTGTGGGTTAAGAGCACTGGCTGCTCTTGCAGAAGACCAGAGTTCAGTTCCCATGACCCACAACTCCAATTTCAAGGGATATGATGCCCTCTTCAGGCACTAGGCACACACCCAGTACATATACACATACATACACGCAGGCAAAACACTTGTATACATAAAATAAAAATAAATAAGTCTTGGGAAAAAGGCAGGGCGTGGTGCTGGAGCGAGAGCTCAGCAGTTAAGAGTACTGGCTTCTCTTCCAGAGGACCTAGTTTGATTCCCAGCACTCACATGACAGCTTGTAACCCTCTGTAACTCCAGTTCCCAGGGATCTGATGCCCTCTTCTGGCCCCCATGGGTACTGCATGCGCAGGTGCACAGACACAAGCCGCTAAAAACACTGATGCATATAAAATAAAAAAGAGGAGACCATCACAGCAGTTTTGCCTGTTTGAATGACTTCTCTGTAAGTTTGCTGTTTCTTTTGTCTGTTCAGGTCTACATGGACCCTCTTTATGAGCTCTTCAGACTCCAGAATATTTGCTTCATTTTTTGTTTGTTTGTTTGGTTGGTTTTTGTTTGTTTGTTGTTGTTTTGGTTTGGTTTTTGTTTTTTTGAGACAGGGTTTCTCTGTAGCTTTGGAACCTATCTTGGAACTAGCTCTGTTTTTTGTCTTTTTTCAAAACAGGGTTTCTCTATGTAACAATCTTGGCTATCCTGGAACTCTCTTTGTAGACCAGGCTGGCCTCGAACTCACAGAGATCCGCCTGCCTCTGCCTCCCGCGTGCTGGGATTAAAGGCGTGCGCCATCACCATTCAGTCTCAGATCTGTATTTCTGTAGGGTTAACTTCACATGGGCTGTTTCCTTCTTCTGATTGGGCCATATGCTCCTGCTTCTATTTATGGTTTATAAGGTTTTTGTTGTTGTTGCTTTTAGTTTTGGATGCGTGGAGGCATCTGAAGAAACCATCCCTCCAGATTGTGCTTTAGGTGAAGACTTCCCCCATCAACACAGCCGGGGATCTCAGAGCGTCTGCCTGTGGAACTGGAATTCTAATGTGCTTTTGTTTTCAGTGACTTTCACACTCTAGTTCTGGGTTCGTCTGCTCGCTCACGCAAGACAGAGTCCACAGTCCCAAGTCCCCTGGGTGGAGCTCTGAGGAGCCCAGTTTATCAGTGCCTGTTTTCTGTTTCTGCCCTGAAGACCTAGTCCTGGGGTGGGAGGAGCCCTGGTGTGGAGGTTCCCTCCCATTTGTTCTGTGTCATATTGCATAAGAGGAGGAATGCTGCAGGGCATTGCTATAGACTGAATGTGCACCCCAAAAGTCACCTACTAGAGTCTTTTTTTTAGAAAAATATCTATTTATTTATTATGTATACAATATTCTGTCTGTGTGTATGCCTGAAGGCCAGAAGAGGGCACCAGACCCCATTACAGATGGTTGTGAGTCACCATGTGGTTGCTGGAATTGAACTCAGGACCTTTGGAAGAGCAGGCAATGCTCTTAACCTCTGAGCCATCTCTCCAGCCCCACCTGCTAGAGTCTTGTCATCAATGTGATACTACTTATATCATAGTCTGCTTCATGGTTAGCCTTTAGGAGGTGTTAAGAAATGAGGATGGAATCAGTGTCCCCACAGAAGGGAGCGGAATGCCTGAATGTAGCTCAGCTGCCGAGTGCTTGCCTCAGGGTGTGGTCAGGGCAGAGTTCAATCCCCAGTACTAAGAATAAAATAGGGCTCAGGGAGGAGCTTGTGGGTGCCTTTCCTTCTGTTCTTCTGTCACTTGGGGACGCAGCACTCGCCCCTCTTCACCTTTCTGCCCCTTTCGCACTGTGAGCGCAAGCATTAGCGTCACCATTTTGAAACAGAGACTTGTGATTTCACCAGACACCAGAACCACCAGTGCTTTGATCTTGAAATTCCAGCCTCCATAGCCATGGAATGCATTTCAGTTTATAAACTGTACACTCGCGGGCATTTTGTTATCTGCCAAACAATTAGACTACCTCAGGCACACCCAGTGCCACCATTTCCCCGGGGATCCCCTTCTCGGCATCACCTGTAGGAGCCGTGGTCGCTCAGTTTGTGTCTCCAAATCTCATAGATTTTCTGGTTCGTATATTGTTTCATCTGTGTCTCTGTGGAGGACCTGCAGCTTACTGTCTTGTTGATGTCCCTTTGCAGTAATGTAGTAGGCTTTTATGGGGGCCACCAACCAGCTCCCAAATCATGTCTTGGAGACTTGTTAGTTTTGAATGCTTGGCCTTGTCTTAGTTCTTACTTTGATCTGTTTCTCTTTATCTACATTTTGCCTTGGGGCCTCTTCCTTCCTTCCTCCCTCCCTCCCTCCCTCCCTCCCTCCCTCCCTTCCTTCCTTCCTATCTTACTTTCCTACAGTCTCCACGTCTGATGACAGCTGCCTGGCTTCTGGCCCCAGGCGTGTCCCTCTCTCCTCCTCCTTCTTCTTTGCCTACATTTATCTTCCTATTTATTCTCTTCTGTCCACTGGCCCCAACTATCCATCTCCTGCCTATCTACTGACCATTTCTGCTTTTTATTAGACCAATCAGGTGCCTTAGGCAGACAAGGTGAAATGGCAGCACATCTTTATATAATTTAACGAATGCAGCAAAAACAAATGTAACACACCTTTACACAATTAAAGTAACATTACCTGGCATAAATATAACACACATTTATATGTTAAATATTCCACATCACAGTAGGACGTGTGTGTGTGTGTGTGTGTGTGTGTGCGCGCGCGCGCACGCGCGTGCACGCTCGTTGCCACTGATGAAAAAGTTTTGAACATGGTAGGCAAATTTTCTTTCACTGAACTGCACCCCACCTGTTCATTGGATTCTCATATGGTTGCTATGGCTGCTCCCTAGTTAAAAGTCCAGAAACAGAACTGGCCCATCTGTACTGTAGTAGCTTCGGGGAGACTGGCAGAAACTGCTGTGCTTTTTCTAGAACACTCCATGGAAATAGCATCTAAGAGAACCAAATACCACATCTCTCTGCCCCTGGGCATCCTGGTGTATTGTGGGTGTACCCCTCCACCCAAGTAAGTGATTTCCCTTCTCTCTACAGTGCTCTGACCCACAGAAGCTGCTGCACATTGCCCAGGAGCTCCTGCACACAGAGGAAGCCTATGTGAGGCGGCTGCACTTGCTGGACCAGGTAGCCCATAGGGCTGGGGATCCCCTTCTCTCCATGCCCAGAATTCAGACTATCTGTCCCTTCATATTGTTTAGTTATTTTTTAATATTTATTTATTTATTATATTATGTGTATAGCATTCCTTCCACGTGTGCCTGCAAGCCAGAAGGGGGCGCCAGGTCTCATTATAGATGGCTGTAAGCCACCATGTGGTTGCTGGGAATTGAACTCAGGACCTCTGGAAGAACAGTCAGTGCTCTTAACCTCTGAGCCATCTCTCCAGCCCCATATTGTTTAGTTATTATGCATAGAGTATGAATTGACTCTAAATTGAATACTAAAATTCAGATAAAGTGAAGTCTGGACTGAAAACATTTTGTTCTCAGTGCTGTGGCTCTGGGGCAGAACTTAGTATGTTCTCTTTGGGAAACATTTCTTCCTGGAGGATGTATCGTTTGAACACATGAATGGATGCTGGGGTCTGAGGTGTCTCAGTCAGTAAAGTGCTTGCCTTGTGTGCTCAAGGGCCTGGGTTTGATGCTTAGAACTCATGTAAAAATGCCAGGCTAATCATGGGGGCTGATCCTTATAATCCTAGCACTGGGGAGGCAGAGGCAGGTGGATTTCTGTGAGTTTGAGGTCAGAAGAAAAAAAAAGGAACCCAAGAGCCCACTCCTGTGGCAGGTGTCTGGCTGGCTCATATTCAGGGGCCATTGTGGGCTTCTCTGTGCTCAGGTTTTCTGCACCAAGCTGACAGAAGCAGGGATCCCTCCAGAAGTGACCACTGGCATTTTTTCCAACATCTCCTCCATCTACCGCTTCCATGGGCAGTTCCTCCTGCCTGAGTTGCAGAAGAGGATCACGGAGGAATGGTGAGTGTGGTCCATGGCCACCCACAGGGTCCGTAAACCTGAGTTCTTCTGCCTGGCAGCCTGGCAGGTTCTTGGGGGTGGAGGCTGTCACCTGGAGGCCTGAGTGCCTCCTTTGGCTGAGACCGGGCTGGGCCTTGGGCATCTCTTAGCTTGTGGATCTAGATGAGATCTGACATCTGGAAGCAGCACAATGAACAATACTGATGATTTTATTTTCCTCTCTGCTTGGTTTTACCTTTGCTTTTAAAAAGAACCTTCTTGTCGGGTGGTGGTGGTGCACATCTTTAATCCCAGCACTCAGGAGGCAGAGCGGGTGGATCTCTGTGAGTTCAAGGCCAACTTGGTCTACAAGAAGTAGTTCCAGGACAGCTAGGACTGTTATACAGAGAAATCCTGTCTCAGGGAAAAAAAAAAAAAAAGGACCTTATCCTCGGGAGTGGTTCTAAGTCCTCTGCTTTCTGTGCCCCTCAGTTTTTGCCGATTTTAGCAAAAGCTACAAGCCATAAGGAGTGCAATGGCGCAGGAGGGAGAGGTCCACTGGTTTTAACCATTGCACCCCCCCTGCATTTTGGGAGGCTTGAAGTTTGCCTGCCTTCCTTTGCAGGGCTTGCATGCTCCTCTTGTCTCCTGACTTTGCCTTGTGTGGTTGTGAGGGTGTCTTGTCATCTTTGTCTCTGTGTGGCTGGGCCACTTTGGGAATCTTCGGAAGCTGTGGAGCAGGTAGCACTGTGTCCTAAATGTGCTGAGAGCTGGGCATAGACTTCTGGTGACAAAGTCCGTATCTGGCAGCACAGGCTTTCCCCCGTGTGCTCTGGAATTCTGGGTCCATCCCATCTCTGCAGTCCTGTGACGGATGACACAGGGCCACTTGCCTTGCATCCCCAATTGCTCAATTTATGAAATCAATCCTTGGTGCGGCTTCCTAGGAGCACCAAGTGGTGGCTTTGTACCTGTGCCTTTTTCTTCTTCTTTTGGTAGTCACTAAGGATAAATCTCCAAAAGAGAGTGCTAAGGTCAAAAATTACTATGTTAATTTTTTTCCCATGGAGATGTGAACAATACCTACTTACCTAAGATAGGACTCCAAGGACAGACCGAGAAATTTTTTAAAAAATTAAAAAGTGGATTCCACCCAGTCCCAACTTAGTTGAAGCAGTGAGCACGGGTGACTTCAAGATGGCTGCAGTCCTGCAAAGTCTTCTCTCCGTGGCTTTGGTGCCAGTGCACAGAGCCGTAATTTCTAACCTGTGTTTATTTGGAATGGCGCTTCACTGACCATCTTTGATAACCGCCGTCTGCCACTTGAGGGCAGCACCTCTGTGAGGACCCTGTGTTTGGGCTCTGGGCCTCAGCCAGTACTGTTGAGGTACTTAGAGAAACCCTCTCCTAATGTCCAGAAACACTGTTTTCTGCGCCACAATCTGGGAGGGTGACCATCAGAGACTCGCCATCCCCACTCCACCTAGACTGTGCATCTGACGACCGTGCTTCTCCACACAGGGACACAAACCCTCGGCTCGGAGACATCCTGCAGAAACTGGCTCCGTTCCTGAAGATGTATGGCGAGTATGTCAAGAACTTTGACAGGGCAATGGGGCTGGTGAGCACATGGACCCAGCGTTCTCCGCAGTTTAGTGAAGTCGTCCACAGCATCCAGGTAGGTGACTGCAGAGGCAGGTGAATCTTTGTGAGTTCGAGTCTAGCCTAGTCTATATAGCAAACTCCAGACCAAACAGCACTATGTACTAGGACCATGTCCAAAACAGAAACAAACAACCAAAAAACAACAACAAAACCAACAAACAAATAAACCTTCCACAACAAAACATGGTCTCTAGACCTGGCTGGTTTGAATTCCCTACGTAGCTAAGGTTGACCCTGAACTTCATCTTCTGAGTGCTGGGATTACAAGCGTGCACCACCACACCTGGCTTATGCAGTGCTGGGATTGCAGGTCCGCATCAGCATGCCTGGCTTTTCTACATGGGTTCTGGGGTGGAATTCAGGTCCTCATGCTTTTGAGCAGCTACATCGTCATCCCAGGCCTCTGGAGAAGTGGTGGCACTAACTCCACACACAAGTGCGTAGTACAAGACTCGTCTGTGCTGTGTGTAGTAGCAGGCCACTTGGCCGTTTGTTCATTTCCTGGCCACCCAGACCCCAGAAATAATCACACAGAAACTGTATTAATTAAATCAATGCTTGGCCCATTAACTCTGCTTCTTATTGGCTAACTCTTACATATTAATTTAACTAATTTCTATTAATCTGTGTATCGTCACGTGACTGTGGCTTACCGGCTAAAGTTCCAGCATCCGTCTCCAGCAGGGCTTTTTTCTGACTCCACCTCCTTTCTCCCAGCATTCTGTTTAGTTTTCCCTGCCTAGCTCTGTTCCCCTATAGCTCTGCTTTTATTCGTTAATGGTAATCATAGCATGAGGGGAACCCCACATCAGCTGTGAGTTCTACACATATCTCCCTTCAGAGGGTGAGGCACTGTTCAACCTGACCACACACCACTGTCCCTGTCCACACAGGGCAGACCAGGCTCTCAGGTCCAGCAGGTCCTCAGGTGACAAAGCACATATAGGATTGGGATGACAATTTGTCTGTATTGACCACCTCAGCATTCTGTTATCCCTGAACAGTGGGTACCATCTGGGGATACTTCCTGATAGACATAGCCATGGTTCTGTCCCTAGGCCTCAACACAATTTAGCCATTTTCAGCAAAGACCTGGACTGTGTCTGTTGACACTGGTGTTGCTTCTGGTATCTGAAGGTTAGAATCTGGGACAGGTCTACAGTGCACAGAACTGCCCACAACAGAAAATTCTCCTGCATTGTTTGAGATGCCTTGACCTGGACAAAATGGGATCAAATGACCATCAGATTTCCCTTGGTCTCTGGAGAATTCTTTGCTTGATCCAAAGCATATTTTAAATTATAGGCCTTAAAATCCAAATGTTTACTAAGAGTTTGTAAAATGACCAACTTAAGACTAGAGAAAGAGCCAAGAAGAGAGTTTGGATCTCTAGCACCAGGTGAAGGCAGGCATGGTGTCACGTGTCTGAACCCTCGTGCCGGTGGCCGAGGGTAGGGTCACGTGACAGGTAGATTCTGGGACTGATGGGCAAGCCTAGAGGAAACTCAGTTTTCAGCCAGAGATATACATGCGCACAGCACACCCAGGCCTGACCACAAAAGGACAAACTCACAGACAGTCCAGACCTTCTACGCCATCATCTCCACACACGCACGGTGGTTACTGCCTTTTGAAACTCATCTGCAAACAGTACTGCAGGTTCAGGGCTAAGTGTGAAGGAGAGTGTCTCCCACACATCCACAGTGCTGACTGAAATCAAGAAGCTCACATAGCTGCCACAGCTGTTGTCACCTCACAGCCCACACAGTCACCAGCGATCCCAGCGATGCACTTCTAAGTTTTCTCTCCAGGACCACGCACTGTTCTCATTACCAGGCTGAGTCTTTCCCTAGGACACGCTCTGTCCTTATCCTCTTGAGGGAACTGGCTGCCTCTTGGCTTGGGTTTCTCTGTGGTTTTTCCATGATTCAGTTGGGGCTGTGCCTCTTTGTGAGTGTCGCTGGAGCAAAGCCTTTTGATTTGTTTTGTTTTCCTCTATTCATAAATTCCTAGCAGGGAGATAACTTGTAGCCCTGTGAACATCCATTCCCCGCATCTTCCCTTGATTCTTGCTTGAAATAATCTCTCTCTCTCTCTCTCTCTCTCTCTCTCTCTCTCTGGTATATGCCCGTGAACACGTATGTATGTATGTATGTGGGTATGCTCATATATGTATGTACAAGCAGCGGTCAGAGGTCAGCTGAGGTCAAGTGCCTTCTATCACTCCCCATCTGATGTTTTGGGGTAGGTTTCTCACTGAACCCAGAGCTCACTGATTCTGCTAGGCACACTAGCCAATGGTATCTGCTTATCTCTGCCTCCCCAGAATTGGGATTAGAAGCAAGCACCGTGACACCCAGACTTTTTTTCAGATTTTCTTAAATTGTCTGTGTATGAGTGTTTTGCCTGCATGTATGTCTGTGAACCCTATTCATGTTTGGTTCTCAAGGAGTTCAGAGCTGATGTCAGATATCTTGAAACTAGGGTTACAGGATGTCATTAGCTGTGCAGTTGCTAGGACTGAACCCAGGTCTACTACAAGAGCAGTAAGTGCTCTTAACCTTTGAGTCATTTCTCCAGCACCAAAACTCAGATTTTTTTTCCTAAGCGCAACCTTCATTTAGAAAACAAAGACAGACATGGAGGCGCACACCTTTAATCCCAGCACTCAGGAGGCAGAGGAAAGTGGATCTTTCAGTTCGAGGCCAGGACAGCTAAGGCTACACAGAGAAATCTTGCCTTGAAAAAAAAAAAAAACAGCCGGGCGGTGGTGGCGCATGCCTTTAATCCCAGCACTCGGGAGGCAGAGGCAGGTGGATCTCTGTGAGTTCGAGGTCAGCCTGGTCTACAGAGCTAGTTCCAGTACAGGAACCAAAAGCTACAGAGAAACCCTTTCTTGAAAAAAACAAAAAAACAAAAAACAAAACAAAAAAACCCACAACAACAACCAAAACAAAACAACTCCCCCCCCTCCCCAAAAAAACCCTAATTATTTTAGGGGCTGAGAAGATGGCTTGGTGGGTAAAATGTTATGTTTATGAACCTGAGTTCAGATCCCCAGAACCTGTTAGACCCAAAAGAGTTAAAGCCCATCCTACCAGTTTTGTTCTGGGACCGAAGGAAGGTGTGGGTAGCTGGAGCCCTGAGGTTGCTCCAGGCAGGGCAGTGGACAGGATGAGAAACAGCAGGCTCTCTCTATCAACATGGCAGAGGCAGATGAACCAGGCAGCATGGCAGAAGAGCCCACGGCTAGCGAAGAGGCAATGGCGTCCTGGCAGTCATCGCTGGCAGGCTAGTGTGCAGGGTCAAGGGTGTAGACTCCTGATGCCTGCGCCAAGAAGGTTCTAAAGTGTGGCAGACGGGAAGCTGTGATCTGGAGGGAGGAGGGGAGGTGTGTATGGGGACAACACAGGGCTAGGCCTTCCTGCCCCCACCTGCTCTCTCCGTTTATTGTGTGGGGGGAGCTAGGCACAGATGGCCTCCACCTGAAACGGAGGAAGTGGACCTGAGGGTGACAAGGATGGGATAGGGGTGGGAATCACTTTTGTGGGGGGAGGCCTGGTCCTGGCGCTTGTTTTCTTTAACTCTAACCTGCTTACCCAGAGAGTTGCATCTCTCCCTCCATTGTAGGCACCTGTGGTCTGTGCCAACTGTGTCTTGAAAAGCAGGCAGCTCCAGACAACCGCCAGGGACTGTGTTACTAGAAGCAGGGACTAGGCTGGTGACCGCATGTGTGTTCCCCCAGAAGCAGGGGCTAGGCTGGTGACCCTGTGTGTGTTCTCTGTTCTCCAGAAGCAGGGGCTAGGCTGGAGACCCCGTGTGTGTTCTCTGTTCTCCAGAAGCAGGGGCTAGGCTGGAGACCCCGTGTGTGTTCCCCCAGAAGCAGGGACTAGGCTGGTGACCCCGTGTGTGTTCTCTGTTCCCCCAGAAGCAGGAGGTGTGTGGGAACTTGACATTGCAGCATCACATGCTGGAGCCTGTGCAGAGAATCCCCCGCTACGAGCTGCTGCTCAAAGACTACCTAAAGAGGCTCCCCAGGGATGCCCCGGACCGGAAGGATGCTGAGAGTAAGTGGGCCTGACTGCAAAGCTGAGTATTGAAGGAGCGGCGGGCTGCATTCCTGGTGCCCGGCTGCCTGCACGGCTAGCTTTACCCGAAATAATTACACGGAAACTGTATTCTTTTAAACACTGCTTGGCCCATTAGTTCTAGCCTCTTATTGGCTAGCTCTCATATCTTTGATTAACCCATTTCTAATAATCTGTGTAGCACCATGAGGGGGAATCTCTGGAGGAGGCTGAGAACCCTGGGCTGAGACACACAAAGGCAGGAGAAAGATCATACGAAAGGATGCTGTCTCTGGGGAAGACACTGCCAAACCCTGGCTCCCTTCAGAGCTTAGGATCCAGCAATGGGCCCCACAGTGAGGACATTCTTACTTCAAGTGACATAACCAATGTAACTGGGGGCAACACAGGGCTGGGGACTGTGCAAGAGAGTCAAGAGAGTCAGGGGTCCTACTTGTGTGGGCCCCAGCAGGATCAGCAAGTGGCTCTGAGCTTTGCCCCTTCTCTGGGCCAGACCTCTGGAGCAGTCTGGTCACCCTGAGCAAGGAACGGGAACATATCTTCCCACTGGAAGCCATGCCTCCATTTCAATATCAGCCTCTCCAGTAAGAACTTGTGGCATTACTACGTGCCTAGTCTCAATCAGTTCTCCCCATTCAGGGTCGCTGGAGCTCATCTCCACAGCTGCTGACCACTCCAACGCTGCCATCAGGAAGATGGTGAGTGCAGTCTGCTGTGGGGAAGCAAAGCTATGCAGGAAGGGTCGGGGGTAAGGGGAACCTTTACCCCGATTCCAGGTGGGCCCCATCAGTGAGCACATGTGTATCCTGTCTCCCCAGGACATGCCAGGTGCACATCCCAGTACCCCCTGGTAATACCAAGTGCAGGTTCAGCCTCTTTCTGTACAAAGCAAGGAGGCATATGCCCTCTGTCTTAGGGTTTCTATTGCTGTGAAGAGATGTCATGACCACAGTAACTCTTATAAGCAAAACATTTAACTGGGGTGGCTCGCTTACCATTTCAGAGGTTCAGTCCATTAGTATCACAGCGGGGAGCATGACAGCGTGCAGACAAAACGTGGTACTAGCTACGTCTTGAGAAGGCAACAGGAAGTGGTCTCAGTGTCAATAATGAGCAGAGTGTGAGCAAAAAGAGACCTCAAAACCCGCCTCCACAGTGATACACTTCCTCCAGCAAGGCCACACCTCCTATTAGTGCCACTTCCTGTGAGCTTAATGGGAGCCAGTTATATTCTTTCTACCACACCCACCTTCCCAATACAAGCCAGGACACGCCATGACTACACCTATATGTACTACTCCTCTACGTACCTGCCAGCTCCTGCAAGGCCATGGGTTCTTCCCTGCCCTCCAGGGTCCCATGCATCCTGTGTTGTTTGGTCCACTAGCATCTCTGGGATCCATACTAGAAACATAAAGGGCCAGCCTGACCTACCCACTCTAGGTACACTTGTAATTTCTGCAAGTCCCAGGACAGGACACCGCGGCTCCATTCTACTTTGTGTAGGGGCCATGAACTGTTAACCTTGTCCCCAATGTATCATTGTGCATCATGTCACCCCAACCGGGCCTGGGGAACGCGATAGGTGGATTGGCCCAGTCTGGGTCATGGCTATTCAGCTGATCCCTACATGCCTCAGTTTCCTTGTCTGTAACTTGGGATAACAATGCCACTCACCTCGTAGAGCTTGCAGAGGTTTGTGATTCTCCAAATGTTGGTTTTCTAGTCACCTTTATTATTCGGCTCAAACGTCACCCTGTGTTTCCTTCCCTTCTCACAAGTGGTCATTTCATTGCTGCATCGGACTCTGGGTGACAGTTGCAGAGCATGGCTCTGCTCACCTCTGGGTGCGAAGCAGCCTGTGCGACCTTGCAGCTGCCAGAACTTCCTGTCCCCTTGCAGGAGAAAATGCACAAGCTCCTGGAGGTGTACGAGCAGCTGGGTGGGGAAGAGGACATCGTCAACCCAGCCAATGAGCTGATCAAGGAGGGCAACATCCAGAAACTGTCGGCCAAGAACGGCACCGCTCAGGACCGACACCTCTTCTTGGTGAGCCAGGCTGCTATCCCAGCCACAGAACTCCCCATCTGCCTTCTCAGACGCTGGGCAGTACTAGCAAGACTCAGAAGCCTAAGGAGGAGGTTCTTCCATGGCCTCCCCGATAGTTGGCTGGGCTGTCTCTTGTCAATGACTCTGCCCTGGTTTCCACGAGCATCTAGTATTGATGTCCCTTATAGCCAGCATTTCTGTTTTCTTTGATCTACCTCTGTTACAATTAAAGAATCTCCAGAAACCAGAAATAAAAGAAATTGTAGCCAAACATCAAGATCCCAACTGTCCCCAGAACCTAATTCTGGTTTATAGGGAGGGGAAAAGACAGGAAGGAATTATAGTGAGGGCTTCCCTCGAGTACCTGATGTACAGGAAGAGACACGATTCTTTTTTCCATTTTTCTATAGCTGCTTCTCTTCCCCTACCTCTGCTTCCTCTTCTCTTTCCTCCTCCTCTTCTTTCTTCTTTCTTCTTCCCAAGGCCTTACATTTGCTAGGCAAGCACCCTATCCCACTGCCTCGCACCCATAGTCCTTCATCTATTATTGAATAAGTAGCTGTACCTTTGAAAGTTTTTCTTTTTCAGTCTAAGGCCTGTGACCTATCTAACCACAGGTTATTGGCTAATAATACTAGATATGGGTTTCAACTTATGGGATGGGCCTTAAATCCAACCAGAAAGTGATTGGTTCCTCCCATGACATTCCTGCCACTATTGCACCAGTGGGTATGTCTTGCCAGACCAGTTGTTATTGTAGCTCACAGGGTTCACCGTTGGCTCCTCTGGTAAAGTGCGTGGCATCTTTCTGTGCTATAGAAGCTATTTATAGAAATGAAGCCTCCAGGTCAGTACTACTTGATTTCCCCATGTTCTGTGACTCAAGTATGTGGCGTTTTCAGCAGGAGAGCCATCAAGTTCTGGAGGGTAACCAGGAGCGTTGGCCGTAGCCTGTACTGTTGGGGGTTTATGGGCCCTCAGTGGCCAGTCACTCCAAAAGAAGTAACACTTTCCTAAAACTGGGCTTTTTGTTTGTTAGTCTCTGGAATTTAGTGGGGCCATTGCTGTCTGTTATAGGCTCAGGATCTGCCTTTTGAATGTTGTGCTTAAAGGCATGTGTGAATCTTTAAATAAATAGATGTATAACTTACTATATATATATTACTTTAAGACATTAAAGAAATATATATATATTACTTTAAGACATTAAAGAAAGCTTATATGGGTCCCCTGTGAGGGGCTCCCTGTGACTGCCTCTCCCCATGGCATCTTTCTTGCAGTTCAACAATGTGATGCTCTACTGTGTACCCAAACTAAGGCTCATGGGCCAGAAGTTCAGTGTACGGGAGAAAATGGACATCTCTGATCTCCAGGTGGGTGGGTCCCTCTTTCCCCACTTTTGCCCTGGAATGGGTAAAAACAGGGATGGGAATGCTAGGCTTTGATGACTACTTGTGTGACTCAGGGGTTTCCGAGCCAGCATCTTGGTCCTGGTAGACTAGCCTTGGGTGGGCAGTCTACTGCTCCAAATAATAATTGCTCCAGAAATATTTTCTAATTAAATGACTCTAAGTATCTGAAAAGGCAAAGATTTGATTAAACAACTGCCCACTCCATAGAATTTCCATTGGATCCAGGTTAAGAAATAATTACAAGCAATGACTTGCTAGAGAAGAAAAAAAATGCTTCTTTCATAGTTAGAAGAATCCACTTTTACCATGTTGCTCTATGAGAAATCAGTCCTGGGCTGGAAAAATGACTCAGTAGTCAAGAGCTCCTGCTGCTCTTTCAGAAGATCCAACTTCATTCCCAGCACCCGAACTGAGTGGCTCACAACTGCCTCTAACTCTAGCTCCAGGGGATTCAGTTTCTCCCTCTGGCCTCCTCGGGCACCTGAACTTGTATACATAACAGCACACAGACACACACATATAAATAAGTCTTTAAGAATGGCTTTTATACGTTAATACCATTTTTCAACATGCAGTGAGAAAGCCCGGAGGTTTCTGGCTGGGCCCAGGTCTGCATCTCTGTGATCCCTAACCAGCTGACCAAGGTCAGGGACTCTTACAGGGACCAGCCCGAGAGCTGCCAGGAGAAACTGTGCTCTGTGGTTTTGTGCTGATGGAAGAGGGTGAAATCTGAGAGCCCCCAAGGAAACAACACTACTCCATTCACTCTGTCTGGGTGCACTCCTGTAAACCCATAATGCACCTGTCCATGTGGGCTCCAGCACCATCTGAGGGACATAATCAAGGATCTTCCAAGACTTTTTATCCCTCCCATGGAGGTGCGGCTGTGCCGGAGGGGAAAGACTTGGCCAGGGCTGCCGGGGGACAATGGCTCAAGGAGTCTTGATGGACAGGTACATTTGCCAAGCTGCTGGCTAACACAGAGACTTGCCCAGCTCTGGGTGGGCAAGACCAGTGACCTGCCCTCCCCCTGAGCCTCAGTATTCCCATCTTATAGATCTGAGAGCCCCTGGGGTCACCTTGACTCTTCCACAGGAAAAACAAATGAAAGAAAAACCTCTGGTTCAGAGACCATGGGTCTGGGTTAAGGAACAGCTAAAATGGCAGCTCGCCTTCATTTGCTCTGTTCTGTGTTCTTCTTCCTGCAGGTGCAAGATATTGCAAAACCAAACGCAGCACGCACATTCATCATAACAGGAAGAAAAAGGTCCCTGGAGCTTCAGACTCGGTATGGCGCTAGCAATCTGCAGCTGCACGAACACCTTTGGCCTGAGATTGTAGCAGATGGCTTGTTACTGAAGGAGATAACTTTTCAATATGTTCTTATTCGCTTGTAGTTCAACACTTCACTAAGGATGCTTACCAACAACAATTACGAATTAAGCCTTTTAATTCTAGGCCTGTGTTACTATCCATCTCTTACTAACCATCTCTTAAGTAATCGTCTAGAAAATTCTGCACATCTGTGTATGCATGTGTGCACATGCATTTGTGTGTATGTGTGTGTCTGCAGATTTGTTTTTGTTTTTGTTTTTTGAAACAGGGTTTCTCAGTAGCTTTGGAGCCTGACCAGGAACTAGCTCTTGTAGACCAGGCTGGCCTCAAACTCACAGAGATCTGCCTGCCTCTGCCTCCCAAGTGCTGGGATTAAAAGTGTGCGCCACCACTGCCCAGCGTGTCTGCATTTTTTGTTGTTGTTTTTTTTAATATTTATTTATTTATTTATTATGTATACAATATTCTGTCTGTGTGTATGCCTGAAGGCCAGAAGAGGGCACCAGACCCCATTACAGATGGTTGTGAGCCACCATGTGGTTTCTGGGAATTGAACTCAGGACCTTTGGAAGAGCAGGCAATGCTCTTAACCTCTGAGCCATCTCTCCAGCCCCATGTGTCTGCATTTTTTAATTAAAGATGGAACGCTGTCTCAGTAGATAAAGTGCATGCCACGTGGCATGAGGACCTACATTCAGACACAGCAGTGTGTGTCAGTAATCCCAGTCCTGTGAAGATGGAGACAGGCTTGCTCTTTAGCCACCCTAGTGGATTAATGAGCTAAAAGTTCAGTAAGACGTCCTGTATCAAAAAGTAGGGTGGATGGTGATTGAGGAAGACACACAATACTGACCTCTGGCCTTTACACACACGAACACATGTACACACACAAACACACACAGACACACTCAAGGGTGGCTATAACAAATAGCATGTGTCTTGGTTAGGGTTTTAGGGTTTCTTTTTTTTTTTAAAGATTTACTTAATTTTATTTTGTGTGTATTGGCATTTTGCCTATATGCGTGTCTGTGTGAGGGTGTCAGACCTTTGAGTTACACTTGTGAGCTGCCACGTGGATACTGGGAATTGAACTGTGATCCTCTGGAAGAGTAGCTAGTGTTCTTAACCACTGAGCCACATCGTCTCTCTAGCCTCTTGCTTAGAATTTCTATTGCTGTGATAAAACACTATGATTGAGATCAATTTCTGGAGAAAAGGGTTTATTCCACTCACACTCTCAGGTCATATCCACCACTGAAGGAAGTCAGCGCAGGAACTGAAATAGAGGAACCTGCTTACCAGCTTGCTCCCCGTGGCTTGCTCACCCTGCTTGCTTATATGACCCCAGGGCCATCTGCAGAGGGGCGGTACCACCCACGGTATACTGGATCCTCTCACCTCATTCATTAAAAAAAATGCCCCAAGACTTGCCTAAAGGACATCTGATGGAGACATTCTCTCCCCTGACGGTCCTCTTCCTAGTCAGTTTGACAGAACGCTGGCCAGGACACCAGTTCTTCATCTTGCTTTTTTCATCTGATAATCTCACATATTTTCCCAGAATAGCACAAACCCTGTCAGTATTATCAACTGGCACCAGGGAGATGGCTTAGTGGGTAGAAACACCACTGCCAAGCCTGCTGACTTGAGTGTCATCCTTCATGGTGGGACCTGCATGGTAGAAGGAAAAAGCCAACACCTGCAAGTTGTCCCCTAAGCCTCTATAGGTGGCACTAACACCCGTGCATATACACAAAAACTTTTAAGTAAACTGTAATGATATTTTTTTAAAAAATCATCAACAGGGCCCCTTGTTGACAGTCCGAGTCTCATTTCTGCAAACTGTGACAAGAACAGAGTCCCATACTTGGGCTTTTGTGCACACGTGTTGCTGCCTCTGTGAGATGTGACTCTGAGGGGGAACTACTGGTCAGCATGTGGTGTGCCTGCTCTGTCTGGTCACGCTGTCCCCCAAGGCCAAGCTTGAGCTCTCGCTGGCTGTGTGTCAGACATCCAGTCCCATTTCACCTATGACATGAGAACTTGGTAATCACCTGCTAGGGTCCAGGGTGCTGCTGGTCTACAAGGTGAACTAGCCCCAGGGGCCCACATGTGTCCTGAACACTGAAACTACCTTTCCAGCCTTGAGTTGCAGTCGTAAGACGGCGAGTGGCTAAGTAGGCATGCAGTGGGTACCTGTGGATGGACTGATAAAATACTGGTTTTGTGTTCGTAGGACAGAAGAAGAGAAGAAAGAATGGATTCAGGTGAAGCTTCTCAAGTTTGTTCTCTCTCTGTGTCTCCCTCCTGTGGATAAAAGCTAGAACCTGGGGCCTGCTCTGCAAGGGCTCGGCTGCTTGCTACAATTGCCAGCTCTTATGTTTTGGGGATAGGTTTTGTTAAGGGAATGACACTGGCCTCAAACCCTCAAGCCCCCTGCTTTGGGATTCTGAAGGCTAAGATTTCAGACATGCATCACCATGTATGCCTTACATCCTCATGTTACTGTAGTATGGCCATTTCATGTTGGACCACATGGCCTAGGTACTCTTCCTTAATGCTAGTACTGCCTGTCCTCATGCCGAAGGGAGGAAGTGGCCATGGGGTGCCTCTCTCTACGGTTTCAGGTACCATAAGCCTTTCATTTACTTGTTTGAGCCCCTTCTCCACAAGTAAGAAACCAAGGCCAGGAGGGGCTTCCGGCTAGGTATGTCTTTCTGGAGCCAGTCTCTTTGGTCATATTGGCTCCAAGGCATGAGTCATCGATGAGGATAACATAGATGACCAAGGGTGCTCTCTGGAGCACCTGAACCATGAGCTCTCAGGGTCCTTCCTGACAGCCCCGTGGCTTTGCTGTGTGTCCAGGTTATTCAGGCCACCGTGGAGAAGCATAAACAGAAGAGCGAGACCTTCAGGGCCTTCAGCAGTGCCTGTAGCCAGGATGAAGAGCCCGGCCTGTCTCCAGACCAGCCTGTGAGTCAGCAGCCTGTCGTCAAAGGGAAGTGGGAAGTCAACTCTAGGCCAGGGAGAGAGGCCTGGGGGTGTTATGCAGACAGCTTGAACTTACATTTCTCTGCTTGCCCTATGCTGCGGAGCACTGCAACCGGCTGGGCCTGCTGCCTTGCACGTTAGCGTCTGTGTGGAGGCAGCGTTCCTTAAGTGCTATTTCATCATCAAGATAGCCACGAGCAACAAAGAACCTTATCTTCTTCCTAGAACTGAGCCTCTGAAGCTCAGTGATACCCCCAGGTCACTGCAGTGGTACAAATATTCTCAGGTCACGGTGCCCCTCTTCCACTCCACTTGGAATAGCAAGTGGATGCCTTTTTGTGTTTATGTTTTTCTCCCCAAACTCTCCTGCACCCCTGAGGTATCAGCTCCAACCTTTCTGCCAGTAGTACCAGGAGTATATGGTTCCCCATCCCTTGTGGAGTGGCCCCAAGGGTACAATAAGAAGAGGTGACTGAGGCAGGGACTGGGGATGGGCATCCATCCCTCACGTTGGGGTTTCCCCAGAATCAGAGAGCAGACTGGATGTGGAAGATGATTTCTGCCCTGTGGGAGGGCAGCCTTAGAGGCTGCACCAGAGGGTGCACCAAAATCTCCTGGAGAGAAGTCCTCTGGGACAGTGATGTGCGCCCCTCCCCACCACACACACTCCCCCGCACCTTCATGGGCTGCTTTGCTCACGTGCACCAGGTACATATGGAGGGAACACCTGGCCCCTCCTAACTCCTCAGTCTATACCCACCTCCAGCTGACTGGCCTCCTGCCCTCAGAGGGTCTGCCTTTTCCTTATTATTTGCATCAAATCTACTCCCATTTTTCCTGGGATTTTGTTTAGTTTTGTTTTTCAAGACGGGGTTTTCTCTGTGTAGTTTTGGAGCCTGTCCTGGAATTCTCTCTGTAGAACAGGCTGGCCTCGAACCTCTGCCTGAGTACTGGGATTAAAGGCATGCACCACCACCTGGCCCTGGATATATTTTTGAGGAAAGGTTAGCGTTCTTAGAAGGATCCTGTGAGCTCCTTGAGGGCAAGTAACTTAGAGACAAAGGGTACAGAGCAGGCTGTTGTTAGTCAGCAGGGCCCGGAGCGTTAGAAAGCCTGCAGAGTGTTCACGGACCACAAGGATGGGGAGAGCATCCTCAGGGACCACCTCATCCTTCTATAACGTGTGACTTTTTTCAGTATCAGGATTAGGGTAGGCTAAGTCAGCCTCACCTGCTGACACCCAGGTGCCTTCAGTTCAGGGAGTGGTGTAGCTCCTGGAGTCCCAGCATTTATTAGACCAGTTGTCACACACACTATCCCTCGATACACAGAGGTATTAGGTGGAGGAAATGTCTTCCGCCACACGGGGCGTGCCATGTGACTGGAGAACCACTTCACACTGGTCTCTCTTCTCTTCCAGATCACGAGTGCCAGCTCCGTGGAAACTACAGGGGTAGCTGACAGTAATGGGGGTCCTGCTGGGGTGAGTGATTGATACCTATGGATTAGCAGTAATGGGAGGTGCTGGGGTTGGGGTCAAACCAAGGCATCCTGGAGGGTGAGGATTGCCTTCTCTGGGCCTGGGTGTCCAGATGTGAGGCTGCACCTGAGGCAAGGTACTGGTGACTTAAGTACCAAAGGTGGAGGCCACGGGGAGCCTGTCTGTAGACATCGCACAACTATGCGTGCCATCTGATCTCTGTGTGCACGCTTATAAACTTGCTGTGTGCAAATTTCACCCTGATAACATGTGCAGTAAAGAAGTGCCAGCTCCCCAGGACAGCAATGTGAAGGACATGTTTGTCCCTCATACCAGGCAGGTTTCCCGGAAGCCGTGGTCACCTCATCTCTCACCCTTTGTGTCCTCAGGGCCAGGAAACTGGGCACATGGGCCTATCTACTAGGGACTGATCCCGGAGGGGGAGCTGGGGGGGTGTCCTTATTTTAATTGGGGATGTGTGATAGGCTGAGGTGCATGCATGCTTGCTGTGGACCGAGTACCAGCAACCAAGCCAGAGCATCACTTTGGGGCTTGGCATTCACAAACACCTGTGACAATAGTAGTAGGGGCAATTCTGGGGCACAGCGTCCCTTGTAGCCTGCAGTGATGATTCTGCCTAGCGGCTTGCTGGGTCCTGGTGGACTACTGCATTAGGGGAGTGACTGGCGCCATCTGGTAAGATGTCTCCAGCCCATCCCAGACATAGGCTCTTCTCCCTGGGCCCTTTGACAGTACCATAGGGGTACAGTTTCCTGTTTTCTCCTGCACATCTTCTTCCCTTCCCAGTGTTCCTGCTCTTTACCCCCCCCCTTTCTCTTTGTCTCTTGTTCTGTCTTTACGTCTCTCTTTCACAGTCTCTGTCTCTCCATGTCTGTTCTATGTTTCTCTCCTCTGTCTCCATCTCCATCTCTCAGTTGCTCATATATAGCCTGGATCTCCTTGCACTGGAGCCCTGAATGGGGCTCAGAACAGCTGGTGACTTGGCCCTGCAGCTCGGAGACTAAGACCTTCTTAGGTTATAACTGCTGGGGTTTGTTCCCCTAAAGACGTAGGTTCAGGTCAGTCGGGTGAGCTGCCTTGAAACAGGCGAGAGACAGACCGTAGGCAGAGCCACCTGGGATAGAGAACAGAGGAGGGCTGGTGTGGCTGGCAATGAGTCCAGTGCACAGTGTGCAGCCAAAGCCTCTCAGGGTGGCCCTGAATGTTGCTGTTCCCCTCCTTGTGACCGCAGCTCTCCCAGGCCCCACAGATAGAAGCTCATACTGGTCATTGGTCAGGCAACCTTGAGAGCGCTGTGAGGTGAGGGAGGGCTGAGACATGATAAGGCCTTCTGAGGAAAGAGCAAGGCGAACCCTGAAATAAAAGGAATGGAACAAGAGGAGGGCCCCTTGTTGAAAGGCTGCTGCAGTCTGGCCACTACAGAGCAGACAGGAACCCCAAGGATGAGCTCTGTTGAAACTGGAAGTCAGGAAGTCTAAATGTGTTGCATGCAGCCGAGGGGGAAACAAACATGTAGACACCCCCAGTGCCTTCCTGCTCTAGTCTGCCTGTTCCTGCCACCTACTGGCAATGTTCTGGTCCCCGCTGGCTCCGCCAGGCGCCAGGCGTTTGTACCTACTGTCAGCTCTACCTACATCCAGAAAGCCCCATGGCTTGTCTCAGGGTTCCTGTTAAATATTTCTCATTCTCATGACACCTAACCTAGTGTCAACCTTCTGAGTTGCTAATATATATGTACACAATTCATATATATATATATATATATATATATATATATATATATATGTAGGTAGATGATAGATAGATAGATAGATAGATAGATAGATAGATATAAATGAGGTTGGTCTTACCCAGAGCCTTGCAATCCTGTTAGTCTCTTTCCTGAAGCTTGTGGTTATGTGGCTGTGGCTGCACCACAGTTGAGCTTCCAGAGGGACACACAGTCACCTGGCCAAGCCAGGCTCAGCAGTTCATGAACTCATAGTCTGAAATTCTCCCAAGCCGGGCCCACATCTTTCAGCCAGGATGGGTGTCCATGACCATCTTCCTGATGATGCCATGGGCTCTGTTCCTGCATTGTCCCATCCTTGGCCCTGGGGTCAGCTCATGGAGCCACTTCTGGTGACCAGCTGATGGCTGAGACATCCAGGTCCAGGAAATCACCAGTTCTTTGTTTGTGCAGTCTCTAAGGCTAAGCCCACAGGCTCTGGAAAGGGAACCCTCAGCCTCCAGGAGTTGCAGGCAGGCAGAGGTTCAAGGTAGAGGTAGAGACTGTTTATAGGAACAGTAGTGCCTGTGACTGCCCTGAGGACATTAGCAGTGGGGCTTGCAAGTGAGCCATCTCACAGCTGGGGCTCCATGGGGGTCAGAACCAAGATTAGGGGGATACAGCTGGAAGGAACTACAGTTGGCTCTGGTTTGAGGCCCCGGGTGAGTCTTGCTTACTGCAGCCTTACTGACTTCTGAGAACGAGATGGGGAAGCTCTAGGGTACCAAATACAGGCTGCTTTTGCTAGCTGTCCATGTCCTTTGATTGGGAAGGGACAGCTGGGAGCCCCAGAGTCAAGGCCTTAAACCATACCCAGGGCCTGCCTGGATCTCACAACATGGTCACCGCACCTGCTGGGCACCATGGCCATACTTGGTGCCTGGTCTTTCTCACTTGTTTTTCCTGCTTCTGACCTAGGACAGAGTCTTTTACAGGCTCACAACATTCACGCCACAGCAGCACAGTGTTCACTTTCTGATGTCCTTGTTCCTTTCTCCTCACTAAACCAAGCTGAGGCCAGCCCTTCCTCAACAAACAGGCCCACAAACAACGGGTACCCCAGTAGAGTATGGCCATGGGCTTCTCCCTTGATTCCTGCACTGGGCTGGGCTGGGCTGAGCTGAGCCGAGCTGAGCTGAGATTTTGGTGAGCTCAGGATGGTTCTGAGGCGTCTATGGACCTGCACTGAACAGCATGATAGGGTCAACCACAGAGGAAACCTACAAGAAGCTCAAAAGCAAGGTTTCATTTTCAATCAAAATGGTTTCAACCATGGGTGCCAGACTTTTACTGCTTCTTGGCTTTTTTGGACAGGAAAATAAATCCCTTCAGTGTACTGGGCATGTGCCCTGTGCCTTCCGACACACAGCTTCTGTTAGGCCCTCTTTCCTAAGAGAAGCCAAACCCCATCCAGGAAGTTCTGCAAACACCCTTGCAGAATTCAAAGGCTTCCTCATTCTGTTAAAAAGTCCAGTTGCCTTAACAGAATTACATACACACACACACACACACACACACACACACACACACTGACAGTCTGAAAGCCCCCTCCAGAGCTCCAGACCTACTGTGAGAGATACACAGCCCCATCTTATCTGCCATAGAAGCACTATCCCTGATCACCCAGAAGTCAACAGCTTTCCCGTGATACTGGAACTGCCTTTTCTCCATAAGACCCCATTCTGTACCTGCCGTTAGGCTCCAGACCAGAATTGCCATTAGAAGAATAGAGGGACCAGCCTTAGCTTCAGCTGAGCCAGGCGACCTCCTGTCGGAACCACTTCCAACAGGACCTGGTGTTCTTAGCCTGTGTCCGAGTAGACTGCTGGGTCATTTTGTGACTTGGTCTAGGCAGTCCCGAGAGGACGCCACAATGGGAAAGTCTTATGTAGGGCTGGGGGCTCCTGAGACTAGGTGAAAGATACACTTCCGGAGGCAGAAAGACTCAGAGCTCTTGGGAGTGAGGGTTTTGCACGTCAGGTCTGGCGTGCCTGCCCTTCACCCACTGGACACAAAGCTTGACAGTGAACCTGAAAAGTAAGGACACTGCAGAGGGAGGAAGTCAAGGCCAGCTTTCAACTTTGTCCTTGGAGCAAGGACTCACAAGACAGAAGAAGGCAGTGGCTGTGGGCAGCAAGAGGTCAAGTCTGAGCACAACCTCAGCTGGCTTGGTCACGTGACCTGCTTCTGCAGGACTGGCACACAGGCGTGTGGAGGCACATGTGTGTTCATGGTGTGTCTGTCCCCAAGCGTTCAACACAGATGACCCTGAGGATCTAGAGGTCACATGATCCCTCTGGGCTGCAGTCAAGGACACTCAAGGCTGTGGCAGCAGGTGCCTGTCCAAACCACTTTCCTCTGCTTTGCCTCAGAGTATTTTTCTCAGACATACCCAACAAAGCCACCAGCCAAGCTGTCTTGACCTCTTGGAACCTTCCTTCGGGCAGTGCATGGTGTGTTGCGTGATGTACTTGGGTGGTCCCTGGGATAGGAGCCGGGAAGGGGTGCAGCTGCTTTCGCTCTGCCTATTCCCTTCTGCAGATGCCACTTTTGCTCTGGGCATGGCCACTTGTAGAATCCTTAGCTAACCCCCCACCCTGATCCACAGTGTGTCATCTTGTGCTCACACTCTGAAGCTGACAATGGCCACTCGTCTTCTTGTAGATCGAGTCCAGAAAGTTGTCCTCTAAAACAAGACGTGACAAAGAGAAGCCTGGATGTAAGAGCTGTGGTGAGACCTTCAACTCTATCACCAAGCGGAGGCATCGCTGCAAGCTGTGTGGAGAGGTGAGCATGGGGCAAGGGTGGGGGAGTGGATTAGACGGAGGCCAGGTTGCTACTCACAGAGTCTTCACAGGTTCTAAGGGTGGGCAGCAGCTACTGTTAGTGGGTGGCATGTGCTTCTTGAGAGTTGTCATGTGCACAGCTGGGGGGCTCCAAGAGCCACATGGTGGCCTGGCAAGGCTGCCTCCTCCAGATCCTGTATTAGCTACTTTTTTCATTTCTGTGACGTGTGATACCTGAGGGAAACCGACTTAACGGAAGAAGGCTTTATTGTAGCTCACAGTCTGGGGGTACACAATCCATTGTTGTGGGGAAGGCATGGCACTCAGGGGTATGAAGTATCTGGGTCATGTTGTATCTGCAGTCAGGAAGCAGGAAGTGGAAGGAAGTGGGGGTGGGCAATCAAACAGTAGGTCCTACCCCTAGTGACTTACTTCCTCTAACAGTGTTTTCTACAATCTTCCAAAACCGTACCAGATACCCGGTGTTCTCACATGAACCTGTGGGGGACATTTCACCTTTAAACCAGCACACTGTCCCCTACATATAGATGTATATGAGTGTGACCCTCTGATGTAGAAGCTGGTTTCTGGGCAGCCCTGATGTATGACAATATTCCTTCCAGCTGGAATACTGCTAGCCCTGGAGATTCACTGCCCCAGCTGGCAGTTGAGTAAAATGTAGCGTTTCTGTCCTGCAATAGAGAGGTGAGAATGCTGTCCTATGTAAGGTGTTGAGGAGGCAGGAGAAAGTGGAGGGCTTGATCATGGTGGGAGTGAGCCAATGGTGAGCAAGGTCTGATGGGATCATGCCATAAGGGGCCACCACTGACTGGTGTCTCCCTCACTCCACCCCAAAGTCCGTGCTCCTGGGAATGAGCAACTGAGTCATTACTTCAAAGTTTCCTTGAAGAAGGAACTAATGGTTTAAGTATGTTTAGACTTAGATATCCAAGTTGCATCTGGGGGAGGGATTGAAGTGAGGAGGGAGGGAGAGAGAGAGAGAGAGAGAGAGAGAGAGAGAGAGAGAGAGAGCTGTGTCTCACCCAGACTTACTTAAAGCTATTCATTCAAAGGATGTGAAGACTGGTGTTCTCTGATTACACATTTTCATAAAATTGCACCATGCTGGCTGGGGTGGGGGAGAGGGAAGAATAAAAAAATGAATTTTTGGATGGATGATGATAGATAGATAAATAGATAGATAGACAGATAGATGATTGATAGATAGATAGATGGTAGATATATAGATGATAAATAGATGATAGATAGATAGATAGATAGATAGATAGATAGATAGATAGGCAGGTGATGGGTGTACAGTGGATGGTGCATAGATAAATATCTAAACAATGGGATGGTAGATTGATGGATAGATGGTTGTTCAGTGCATAGATAGACAGGTATGGATGGGAGTTGATGAGTGGGTGGTAAATGCATGATAGATGAAGAGGAGGCTGGATGGGTGAATGGATGAGTACAAGAGGAATTTGGAGAGCACCGAATAGCCTGCCGGCTGGGGCTCCAGTCCAAGTGCATGGGCTTAAAGACGTCACCAAGACCAGGAGGTTCCTAGCAGAGTTGCAGTGGGTTGCAGTGATTGCAACTGATGTAGGAGCACCTGGAAGACAATTGGAATCTGTGGTCTCTATTAAGAGAGGAATGGGCTGTGCAGTAGAGATCTGTGAGTTCTCTATAGGGTGACTTCCGGGACAGCCAGGGCCATGTAAAGAAACCCTGTCAAAAAACAAAAAAAAAGGAATGGAAGAGGTGTGAGGGTGAGGGCTGCTTTACCCAGGCCTGGGCTGCAGTTGAAGTGAGGAAAGATCCTAGGCTGGCTGGCCAGTGAGCTCAAATCATCTGTCCATCTCTGTCTTCCCAGCACTTGGACTGTAGAGCCAAGTCACTACACCCAGCTTCTACACAGACCCTGGGGATCTGAACTCAGATCCTCATGCTTGAACAGGAAGCACTTTACCAACTGAGCTATACCCCATGGCTTTGATTTTCTTAATGGTAGTGTCCTGGGTCTTCTTATGTGAGTGGGCCATGTTCTTCTACAGGGTTTCTGAACTCTGGATGGTCCTGGTAAGGCAAGCAGGTCCGACTAAAGTCACTCTCTGCCTTTAGATGTGGCTTCCAGCATCCCAGGTCAAGCTTCGCCTCTTCCTCTCCCTCTACAGGTTTTTCCTCTTCATCTGCTCAGGATGCATGCATGGTCAAGGGCATTCTTCTCTTGCAGGTCATCTGTCGAAAGTGCTCAGAGTTCAAGGCTGAGAACAGTAAGCAGAACCGTGTCTGCCGAGAGTGTTTCCTGGAAGAGCCCTTGGTCCCTGCAAACCTTAGTTCTGAGACTCCCACTGAGCTCAAAGAGAGTGCAGAGGTGGGTGTCCCTGGTTCCTGGGGCCAGGACAGATGAAGGGGACAGCCCAATGTGGCCCACAGGTCTGGAATCAGGGAAAGATACTTGGAGCGTATGTGTGTCTGAAGACTTCTCAGGACTAGTCAGGTCTAGAGCCTGGGAACCACGTGTAACCTAGGAGTTAGATGGAAATGTGTCAGCTCCACTCTGGACTGACTGGAGGTGCAGCATCAAACTGCCCCTAATTCTAGGCATTGAGGTTCATGGAGCCCCTCCTTCAGCTTGGGGCAGGCAGAACCTTAGATGTGTGTGTGCATGATAGTGGTTAATGATGGGGTAGGGTTAGGTTTGGGGGTGTCAGCTCCTCTCCATTATCACCTCTTCTTCCTGAGTGTGGCCGCTATTTTTCCAGACTTCTTTCTTTAAAGACCCAGTCCCTTTTATGGAGTAGCAGGACATCCCTGAAAAGGAAGCCTCTGTTTTCCAGGAAAACCACATTCTCCTTTGTCCCCACTTGATTCGGTGCTGTTGTGGTCTCCTGGGAGTTCTCTCAGATGTCAGTCTCCCTCCCAAAGATGGTGTGGGATGGTCCAAGAAGGCTAGGGTCAGCCACTGTCAAAGCTCCTAACTCCCTGGCTGGTAAATCTATCTGGGAAGTCAAGGACAAAAGGCTGTTAAGGACTGAGGCGGCAGTGGCCTTGACGGTGAGGCTCTGGCCCCATCTACTGATATGCTTATATACTCTGCACTCTCCATCTGGAGATGCATTCTGGGAGTCCTGAGGATGTGGTCTAAGACCTTGGAGGGTGCACTGAGTCTTGGGAAAACCATTTCCCAGCAAGAGGTGTTGGAATCATGTTCATGTGGCTCAGGAGTCTTGTTTCTGTGATAGCACTACAACATGTCAAAAGGGAAGCAGGGTCTACAGGAGGCATACATGAGGTGTGTGTGTATACATATGTGATGTGGAAAGTGTGTGTGTGTATGTGTGGTGAGTAGAAGGTGTAAGGTATAATGTATGTGGTCCCTTCACCTCATGACCCACACTCTTGTACTTACTATTGAGTTTATAAACACATAGCACCATACCTGGCTTCCCCTTGATACTTCATTGTCTTAACCTGGAATGGTCTCATTCTCCCAAGAGTGCCCAGCTCCAAACACTACTTGAGACCACATGACCTGCCACTGACCTCCAGTGACCCTTAGACCCATATAAAGTTGCCCTCAACCTATATCCAGGCTTTAGCTATATCTCTGTGGTCATTTCCTTCCAAGCATGGGCCCTGGGCCAGCCCAGGCTCCTCAGATGACAGAGATCACTACAGGTGAGGCTACCCCCAACCCTATTTATTGTTCTGTCTCCAGAAGCCTCCATCTGTGCATCCTCGGCTCTGCAGCACCCTGCGTCTGTCTGACAATGGTACAGCCTGGAGTGACGTGTGGGCAGACATCCGTGAGTCAGATCCCCAGGTGCTGGACCTGCTGGAAGGCAGCCAGGTATGTGTCCCTGTCCCTCTTCATGTCCAGGCCTATGTACTATGAGATGTACTCTGCTACCACAGTGCAGAGCCTCAAGCCTGAAGTGCCCATAGCAGGTCTGGGCTACTTGGACCACTCTAGTCATAGAACCTGGGCCCACACTTCTCCAATGCCCGGCATAACTCTCTGCTCCCCTCTCATGGAAGACGGGTCTCTAATGTCAGAGTGGGAGCCGGATAGTCAAAGGACACAGAGGCTGGACCCTCCTCCCCACACATACTCACCCTTCGTTCATTCATATATCTCAGGCAGATGCATCTGGGCACTCTGAGCCTTGTCCGGCTACTCTTAACTCCCGTTGCTAAGTTATAAGAGTTATCCTGCCTCACCTACCCTGGCACAGGGGTTCTGAGGGAAGCCATGGGTCTGGGGAGGTCTGCTGAAGCAGACAAAAGCTCCTCCCAGGAACTACCCGAAAGCCTGTCGAGCAACCTGTCTGCAGTTGTCCTGGTGACTGGCTGCACTATGTGGGCCTGGGCATGGTGACCTGCTTGTGTGGCCACTGGCATGAGCTGGAGGCCCCACTGACCCCCTGTCTCTCCTGCAGGCTGGCAGACTGTTGCATTCCATCTCTCTCTCTGGCTGTACTATAACGGTGCCTGACCCTGAGGAGGGGCTGGAGACAGGATGTGTGTGGAAGCTACATCAGGGCCCACGGACCTGGTGGCTGAGCGCCCCCTCCGCAAAGCTGCAGCAGAGTTGGCTGGAAGCTCTGGGCACTGCTGTCTGTGGGGACACAACTGGGGACAGACCTGGTGCCGCGCAGCCCCAAGCCTCAGCAAGCACTGACACTCCATGAGCAGAGCCTCCTGCTGGCGTTTCCACTATTCTGTTAGCCTGTGTTCTTTTTGAGTGACCGTAGATGTCACATGAAGCAATTAAGAACTCCTGGGACCACCGAGGATGGACTGATGGCCCAGAGAAGTGTAGCAGTGGGCCCAAGATCACTCAACAGGTCTTAGACAAGAGTTGGGCTTCTGGCTCCCATCCCAGCATTGTGGTCAGAGCAGGGGAGAACAGCCACTACCAACTATCAAATGTCATCTGAGTGGACTGGATGATAATACCAGCCCTCAAAAGGCACAAGGAGATCGGGTGGGCACTGCCCAGGGGTGAGCATGTCTAACCTGGTGTGATGTCACTCTGGGAAAGGCAGAGATGTCTGTAACCTGGCCTGACTTTTGTCCATCTATCCGCTGTGAGAGCTGGATCATGACCTGGGCTCCGCTCCTCTGGGCTCCACTTCCACACCCCATCCTCTCCTGAAGCATTGCTCATCTACCGTTTCTGCCAAGCCCTTGAAGGGGAAGGAGCAAGGGCCTTCTCATCCTACCATTCCCAAACAGCCACACTCAGAGACTGTGGGGAGGCAGGCCCTCACCCCTGTGTGGCAGGTTTATGGGATTTCAGACTGGTCTCTCTGTGGGCAGGTGCCATGCTTGTCAGTATAAATAAATGCTGGCTGTCAGCCTAGGGACCTTCAAATCCACTCTTAGCAGAATTCCCCTCAAGGAAGGTGACTGGCAGAGGGATGATGGGTGCAGGAGACAAAATGGCATGGACCACACACTTGTCTGGGAGAGTGGTTCTGTATCCCAGATGCTGTAGGGAGTGGGTGAGCAGCTAAGCCATACGTCAGGATGGGGGTGCTGCCAGTCAAGATGCGGGGATGTGACAAAGGTCGTGGGACTCAGGGTGTTGCCTCTGGAGGAACAGGAAATTCAGAGATCAATGACGGGGTTTTTGGTCCTTCAGGTTTCCAGCTCTCTAGTATCAGCACAGCCCTGTGCGGAGACAACTGGGCAGGCAAAAGGGCAACCACCTGGTGGGTGAGGGGATAATGGGTGCTGGTTCTAGGTAGCATTGGGAAGCACAGATGAGGTGGGGCCTCAAGTGAGATGGGGCCCCAGGTAAGGTAGGATAGGGTAAAAGTAAAGCAGGCTGGAGCAGAAGTGAGGTGGAAGGGGCAGATGGAAGACGTAAGGGGCAGAGACGAGGTGGGCAGAATACAGGGGTGCAGGCGAGGGTCAGAACCCAGCTGAGTCTATGCAAGAGCCAGCTGGGCTGGGCATGGGCTGCCTGAGGATTGCTGCAAGCAGCCTTGGACTCGCCATGCTGAGCTGAAACAGCAAAGCAGACAGAACACTTCCACACTGGGAGGAATGAGGCTACTCAAGGCAGTGAAGTCCTTTGTCACCCAGTTCTGGATGGGGCAGTGGTGAAGGTGGCCCAGGCAGAACAACAAAGGAAGGAGGCACCTTCCTTGGCTGGGCACACTGCATGGCAGATGCACCAGACAGACACAAGCCTTCAGTCTCTTGCCATCCTCTGCTGCTTCCTCCTGCTCGTAGAAGTTCTGGCCTTTGCATTTCAAGGATGCCAAGTGCCCATCCTCTGAAGAAGCAGAGCTTGAGGAGGATGCCTCTGTGTATCCTGCCCCCAGGGTGTGGACTTGTCAGCTTGCAGTTTGGGGGCCCCTTGTTGCCCTGAGAAGATATTAGACAAGAGCACCTTACAGAAGAAAGGATTTGTTTGGCTTGCAGTTTGAGGCTACAATTCGTCATGCTGAGGAAAACATGGTAGCAGCAGTGTGGGCTGCATTCCATCCACAGTCAGAGAGCAGGGCTCCACCCACTTTCTCCTCTTTATTCATTCCAGGCCCCTAAGCCAAGGAATGTTGCTGTTCACATGCAGGGTCTGTTTTCTCTTCTCAATTAAACCTTTCTGGAAACACTCTAATGACATAGCCCAAATGTTTTCATCTTAGTATTCTGAATCATACCAGGTTGACAACACCAACCATCACAAGTCCACCCCTTGTCAAATGCATCGCTTTTAAACCTCAGTATTCCACCCTCGGAACCTCCTGCTCGTTTTCATAAAGGATTTGCAAACTCTTCCCAATTCCAAATTTTCCCCAAGGTATAATAAGCACAAAGTTTCTGCTGAGTCTCAGGCAGTCTCTTAACTGTGAGGCCCTGTGAAATAAAAAAAAAAAAAAATACAAGTTATATTCTTCTAATATGCAGTGGTACAGAATAAGTCCTCCCAGTTCAGAAGTGAGCCCTGGGGCACGGAAAGGAGACTCAGCAGTTCAGAGCAGTCTCTGCTCTTACAGAGGACCACAGTTCAGTTTCCAGCACCCTGTCAGGTGATTCACAGTTTGCCTGTCACATCAGCTCCAGGCGATCCGATGCCCTTTTGTGCATGTGAAAACATACACACACACACACACACACACACACACACACGTAAACAAATCTTCAAAATAGGATTAGAGAGGCCACCAAGTAAGACTGAATCAAAGCAAAACTGTAACCCAGCAAGATAAACACCAAATCTTGATCCAGCATTGGCATCATCTAGGCTCCAGCAGCTTTGGGTATCCCCTCCCTCCACTTCTGCTTCCTGCAGCCCACCTAGCCTGTCTTTCCTTCCACCCCATACCTGCAGCTCTCCTCAAGAGGCATCTCAGTCCTGGCAGCCTCAGTCTGCAATCTAGGCCCTACCTTCACGACTTCACACGGTGGTCTTTCACATCTCTTCATTTGAAGAGTATCTGGCCACATCACACCTTGTCTGGCCTCAGCTGCCTTCTAGGACTTCAGTGCCAGCCTCCCAAACGCTGAAACCCTTGTGTCTAAGTTCTGCTTCCGGCTCCAGATGTAGTCTGGCTCCTTTCAACCCCAGCTGTGGCTGCTTGAGTACCAGGGTGGCCTAATCAGAGGAAACGCTCTCGAGGTGATTGTTTGCAAGCAGGAAACCTCAGTGGCACTCACAGGCCAGGCTCCCTCCTCTCAAACGGATTTGCGGATTTGTGGTCTGCAAGCTGGAGCCTTCCATGGGTGGGCTCTTCCCTGTTGTCCTAGTGATGAGCTGAGGTTTCTCTTTAAGGGTGTTACTGTCTTTAACAATGACAACTGCTTTCCCAACACGGCCTCCCTCGCTCCCTCACATTCCTTTGCTCACCAGGCTGCACACTTTTTAATATTTTTCTACTCCAGTTTCTGCTTTGTTTTACTGTAGACTTAGGAGAGCAAACAGTGAGCTCCATCAAACAAATGGGTCTATTACCTTTGAATTCAGCCTCACGCGAGCTTTTGGAACACGGACAGAGAAGCCAGATCCTTGGCCAGAATACCACACACTGGCTGTGTAGTCCAGTTCCCCAGAGAGTCCTTGATCTCCTCTAAAACCTCATGAGCCAGGCCCTCTCAGTTTCTCCCCTCTTTCTGGTCCTCTGAACTCCTACCAGAAAGCTCTATTTACATGGAGAATCCTAGGCCTCTCTAGTTTGCAGCTCTGAGTTCTGACATTCACTTTCCTCTTGCCAGCTCATTCCAAAGGCCCAAGAACCACATGGGCAGGTTTAACACAGCAGTAGCCCTACTCCTTGGTACCAGTTTTCTGTATCATTTACCTTTTCATTTGGTCTGAAAAAACAATTGAAGGAAGGAAGGGGCTGGGGGGTGGGACTCCCAGTGAGAGGGTGTGGGTCCTTCAGGGTAGGGAAGGCAGAGCAGTAGGAGCTTGAGGCAGCTGGTCACATTCTGGTCACATTCTGGTCACATTACCTCCATCGCCAGGCAACAGCGAGCAATGAGTGCTGCTTGCTCAGCTCGATTTTTTTTTTTTTTAAATTCAGTCCTGGATCCCAAATTGTGGGATAATAGTGGTATCCTCATTCAGGATGAGTTAATTCTCTCTGGAAATACCTTCACAGGCAGGCACATGCTTGTCTTCTTGGAGATTATAAATCCATCAAGGTGACAGTTCAGGACAACATCAAAAAAGGCTTCCATGTCCGTGTGCATAGGAGATAGTGTAAAAGGGCGAGAGAGACGGCTCAGAGGTCATGTTGCTCTCCCAGAGGATTCCAGTTCGATTCCCAACAAAGGGCTCACAACCATCTGCAGCTCCACTTGGAGGAAATATTATAAAACCATGGAGAGGAGGGTCCCACATGGAGGGCAAAAGCCAACTGCTGTGTCAGCATTCAGCCCACCAACCACTTCACCTGGCACTCCAGCCCCACTACCCCCAGAGCACCGGCTTCATCCTCACCGTCCCAAGGAAAAGAGGTCAGTTTGCAGCAGGCTAGGATGGGCCGGGTGTCAGAATCATAATTCAGCTTGCATGGTGCAAACTGAGGCACAGAGAGGGAGTACACCTGCCCGAAGTCACCCAGTGAGAGGGCCAGCTGGGGTTCACTCCCTGGTCACCCATTCATTCACATACCAGGCACTGCTGCCACCCATCCTGAGTGCCAGTCTCACAGGGGAGTGGGAGTACTGGATGCCACATGGACATCAGAGGTATTGGATACTGCCTGTGGCTCCCGGCCCTGTCACACTTCCACCCTTGTTTTCTCCTGATGACACTATCGTTCCCCCACCCCAAGTCACGCTCAACCTACCAGCCTGCAGAAACGGCTGGCCTCCTGCCACCTCGGGGCCTTTGCACCTGTTGCTGCCTGTGCTGGGGCATTGGCAGGGCTCTTCCTGAGACCTTAGATGGCTGCCTGTGAGAGACCTAGTCTTGTCTAGCCTAGGCCTCCCACCTTCCTGTTTGACTCTTAGCTTTCTTGTTTGTTCTATTGCCCCATGTGCAGTTGGAGCACCAAGAGTGGGCTGGCATGGCTCAGTGGGTAAAGTGTCCTCTCAGCAAGTATGAGGACCTAAGTTCTAATCTCCAGACCTCACAGGAGAGCCAGGTATGGCAGAGCACTGAGGACATCTGCAATCACAGTGCTGGGGACGGCAGACATCAACAGATCCTTGGAACTCACTGGACTGCAGGCCTACCTAAAGTGGTGAACTCCACTGAACCTGGGTTCAGTGAGGGACTCTTTCTCAAAAAATAAGGTGGAGAGAGATTGATGAAGACACCCGATGGTGACCTGTGGCCGCCACACACATGTGCATATGCATGTTTAAATGTGCACACCCACATGAACACACACATATACATAAGCTTACACATAGCATGCTGCTGCAGAGCAAGACCTGGCATGCAGCGAGAGCTCAGTGAATAACTGCAGGCAGCTTGGGAAGGCTCAGTGTGGCCCCCGAATGGCTTGTCTGTGGACTTCTCAGTGGCAGATGGAAAAAAATAGAGGCTTCTGAGGGTTAAGGAGGTCTAGACTCCCCTGACTCAACCAGGGTTCCCAAGGCATCAGAGGCAGCTCTTGCTCATACCAACTTCCACTGTAGAGACAGGGGAACTGAGTCCCAGATAGGCCACCATACCCTAAGACCACACCCTAGGTAGACAGGAGCTTGGATCCAGTGGGCCAGGCTCCAAATGTGTCTGCCTCTCACTCTCCTACAGAGGCAATAGGGCTAGCCCACAACCTAAATTGCCAAATTCTAGGTTTCCTGGCATGCTGGCCATCAACTCTTCCTGCCACTTGTGTGGTCTCTGGGGTTTGGGCATTAAGCCCCAGTTGCTCCAAGATGTCTCTTGTTACCCTTTAGCAACCAGTCCAGGCACTGGGTGTCCAGGGAAGGGAGATGCTCAGCTTTGTCCCTAGACAGGTCTCAGGGGTATGGCAGGGAGAAGTTTGGGCCTGGCCGGCAGTCACGAGGCTGCTGCGTGCTGATTCCACGGTCAAATCCTTCAGTGGCTACTTTGAACTGTCTTCCTTGCAGGGTTCCTCAGGGGCGTGAATGGGACCAGATATCCATGGGTGTGGTCTAAGCCTGTCTCTCTTCTCAGCATTGCCAGCCAGTCCTCCCACCAAGCTTCTCCCATGCGCATCCATCGCTATCAGTCAGAAGACTGAGAGGAGAGGGGATCCACCCACACCACAGGTTCCTCCTCCCAGACCAGTGCTCTGCCGCTGGTTGCTGAGGTGTCCCGATGCCAGGGCGGCAGGTCTGGGTGAGACAAGGTGGGAGGCAGCAGACCAGGGCAGGCTTTGGGAAAGCAGCAGCCCAACCAACATTCTACACATTCCAGGCGTCCTTGGTCCGCCCAGACCAGGAGTGTCTGAGTTGGGTGCCTGCTCCCAGGTAGGAGCTCAAACACAGCCTCCAGCAATCCTCTGTAAATCTGTTTCTTAGCCACCAGTGGGACAGGGCATGGCCTCGCAGAAACCCTGCACCACTGCCCAACCTATCCTTCTGCCTTTGGATCCTGAGGACTTCTAGACCGCTTCCTGCTGGGCCGTAGGGAACACATACCCAGAAGTTGCCCTGGGTAGACGCATTCCCAGAGGTCTCTGAGGATGGTACCCACAATCTCTGCCATCTTTGCTCCTT